CTGGGAACCATCCACCAGTTCATGAATTCACTAGAAAGACTTACAGAACCCACTGAAAGCTGTTGTAGTTAGGATTATTATTTATTATAGGGAAGGGTTAAGATGAAGATCAGCCAAGAGAAGAGAAGCGAAGGAGAAGCAGAGGACGGAGTCAGGAGGTTCTGTAAAGCTTCTGCTGCCCTCTCCCTGTGGAGTCAGGATGTGATATGCTACCTACACTGGTGTGTGGAGTGTGGGCAGCCGAGGAAGACCTGGTAAGCTTCAGTGTCTGGAGTGTTTATGGAGACATCATCATGTAGGCACGACTGATTGATTGTCCACTTGGTTAATCTCATCTCTAGGTTAACCGACTTCTGGAGTGGCCAGCCCTCCCCCTGAGACTGATTATCAGGAGTGCCCCACTGTGTCTTAAACAAAGATAATCCAATCAGGTATGACATAGATTACCTTCCAGAAGCCCACAGTCCAACAGTGAAAGCCAGACCTCCCTTTGGGCAAAGCCAAATTCTTTATTACACGGTAAATAAATGAGCTGCCTTTAGTAGGATCTCTGAGGCCCTTGTCTCCAAACTTTGGGCCTGTTACCTGCTTGAGCTTAAGCAAGGCTTATCAATCATAATGGGCTTCTGTGGAGAAAACAAAAGAAAAAAAATTATCTCAGGCTTAAAACAGCATAGGTCTCTTTCTCCTCCCCTTTCCATGGCCAGCATGGGTTGAATGAGGCTTCTGCTCCCTATTTCCTTGCTCGAGGTCAAGGCTCAGGGAGCCAGCACCATCTTGAGCGTCACTCTGCAATGGCAAAGCAAGACAGTAATGGACCATGCATGTGTTGGCCGTCCAGGCAGAAGGGACACACATTGCTTCTCACATGTCATTGGCCAATGCAAGTTTGACACTTACATCAAGTTTAGGGGTAGGAGACTGAAAAACCGTTTTACCCTGTGTCCAAAAAGACAAGAACTGATCATCATAGCCCTAGTCACTACCCCAAGGGGTTTATCTCTAAAAACAAAAAGACTCACATAAAAGACTTTTAACCATCACTCTGTTTTCCCCCCTCATTTTCCTACCTAAATGAGACATCAGAATTCACTCATGGAGTCTTAGAAATTCTGCTTACATGCTGTCGGCTCCATCTCATTCTGCCATCCACTTTTAGACCAGGTTCTCTGACTCTTGCTGGTTCTTTATTTAGGGTTGTTGGGATTGCTTAAGTCCTGGTATACAGAGACAGAGAGTTGACCCACTTCTCTGCGTGTGCCTTGTCCCTCTTCCTCCACAGAACCCGTCTTTGCAGCCACACGGCAGTTGCGGATCATGAGCATGCTCTTTAGTCCCCGCTCTACGCCGTGGCTTACACGGTTCCTTTATAGACTTGCCCAGCCCACTGCACTGGCCAGCAGGCCACGCAGACTCATATTTATCCCAGGGTCTCAACTCAGATTTGTCCTTCTGTAATTTTTGTCCACTACTTCCTTATCTGTGAATTTATTGGTTTTCTGTAAATCGGTTAGCACCCTTGTCTTTGACTAACTCTTTATGCCTTCCACTAAAGATGTAAGGGTAGAAATGCTGTCTTTTTCTGTCCTTGTGTCTCCAGCACAGTAACAGCCTGAGAATAACTTAATAGATCTTTGATGAACTGGCGATTATGGAGATATTGAATCACTAGGATTGACAGGAGAGAGAAGTAAAGTCATACTTAGCAGTTACAACAGGTCCTCTTGAGAAAAAATACCTTCTTTCGACTAAATTATTTCTGGCCATTAAAAGTTGACCCTTGCTTTTATGTTAACGAGTGACCCACCATAGTTAATTTTAACACAAGGAGTTCAACAAAGATTCCTACTGCCTTTGTGGGTATCAGGCAACTGTTTTCTATGTGATTTACCTCTGCACTACATTTCCAGTCCTGTAGCCCGGACTGGCTGCTGTTGGTTACCAGGGGATGGATGGGGCTGGGAGATGGGAGACGTCTCTGACCGAGGGCTGTAGAGAGAGGCATTGCCAGACACATTCCTCAGAAAAAGAAAGAAAGCTCTGAGATCAAAACACACTCAGTCTGCAGTGTTCTTTTTTTTTTTTTTAATTGCTGGGGGAAAGAACCGCACACCATTTTCTTCCGGTATCTATTTTAAGATCCTGTGTCCCCTTCAAATCTTTCTTCTATATATGTGGTATATGGAGAGGAGGAAAGGGAAAACAGAGAGGGAGATTAAGAAATGTATTTAAAATAATTTGATTCAAATGACCTACTTTTCAAAGTCATAGCACCCATGTTTCATGCCATTTAGATGCCTAGGCCTTTTCAAAAGAATGCGCTGCAGAATGCTGGTTGGGAGAGGTGGGCAGGAATTGAAGACCTTCAAGTGGGTGGCCCTCCCAACTTGGCAGGTCACCAGGTGAAATGCCAGATGAAGCTGGGTTTTAGGTGGGCGGCCATCCATCTCGGTCCCTGTTGGAGCTTGACGTTCCAGCATAACTATTCACAGTGACCTGTTTGGTTCTCAAAGGTCTGCTGGTGTAGAATAGGTGCCCTGGTTTTAGGCTCTCCCAGAGGGGAGAATATTGGAGTGATGGATGGGAAGGAACAAGACTCCAGAGTGAAGAGGGCTCGGGGGAGAGTGATTTTATGAGCGTACGTCTGTACAGGGTTTTCCTTAAAAGGCTGCATATAGTGCTTTCTGAAATGCCTTGCAGACTTTCTTCTGACGTACTTCTTGACATCAGTTTATTTTTCTTCGGTGCAGCTCAGCGTGTCTCAGCGCAGCCTGGATTTCTCTGAGACTCACAGGCGGCAGTGCTCTGTGTGTGTGTGTGTGTGTGTGTGTGTGTGTGTGTGATTCAAGCCTGGACAGATTGGCTGTGAATGGGGTGATAAGAATAGAGAGAAGCACATACCAGTAAACCACACTTCCTGCGCACAAGCCTTTGAATACTGCGTTTCACTGTCTGAAATAGCATTCATCTTAAGGCTGGGATCATTTATTCCCTGTGGAATTAAGCAAGAGCACTGGCAGCAGCAGAAACTATTTTGGGAAAGAGATGTGGGAGGAATTTTGCTATGTATTACAGGCGAGGCAGAAGTGCCTTCCGTGGTTTTGAAGCCCTGGTAAGTGGGGAATTGACAACTTTCAGATAATCCCACACCGTAATTACTGTCCAGGCTAATGTGTACACACTGCGATCTATAAAGGTCGTCAGTAAAGACGGAGTTTTTAGATGCTTCAACTTAAGTCACCTAAATGGCAGAAAGAGAACTTTCCTTGGGAGATTAGCATTAGCGTTTCGTGCAGATGCTGCTGAGAAGGGGTAAAATACAGCATCTGTTCCTGTCCCCTCCTTAAGTATGCCCTTACAGGTGGTTTTTGCATATTCCCATGTAAACTTCCTTCCCTCCTCAGAGAAATATAAAATAAAGCAGTGAATGCTGTGCCCCCCCCCACTCCCTCCCCGTGAAGCTGAGGTGGGTAGGGCTTGGCAGCTGACGGCAGCTGCAGAGAGAAATAAGCCCGGGGCTCTGGGGTGGACAGGGCACGGAAGCACATGGGATCAGTGCCTGCCCTGGGACGAGGCCATGAGGACGGAGCTGCAGCGGGAGGCCGCAAGTTCAGGCAGTGAATGGGAGGTCGGGGCTCATAGGAGCCAGTGTGACAGTCCTTTTGATCAAGCTATTGCTTTTGCAGGGGTGAAGTGGGCAAACTTCAGAGGACAGAGAAAAGTCAGCTGCAACTTAAATGACTTCTGTCTTGTCATTGAATTAGTGTATCTAATGGAAACCAAGACATTATGTTGGTCTGTTTCTATTTAACTTTGCTATTGGATAGTCAGTCCTTCAACTGGTAAAGAACTGAGTACCTTCAGAATTTTGTCTTTACGAATTAGCTGCAATTAGAAATCGCAAACAGCAGCCTGGTGCTATTTTAAAATTCTTTATGTTTTTTCCACGGAAGGCTTTTGAATTTTTTTCCAATGTGGTAGATGTAATTACAACAGATTGTTGTTGTTGTTGTTATCTTACTTTCTTTTCACTTTGGCCTTGGAATTAATGTGAGAGGCAGAGATGTTAAGGTTCCTCACCCCAGACAGTGCTGTCGAGATTTATGATAAACACTTCATAAATTACATCCTATTGCTCAAAAATATATAGAAAATTTACTTTAAGTCAAAACCATAAATATCCACTTGTTTTGTATGGGGAGCTTGGTGAAGAAATAGTACCATTATAGACATCAATGGCCTATATATATATTTTTTAAGCAAATGAACTATCATCTTATGTTCCAGTTAAATCGAATCAAAATGATCTCAGAATCTGAAATACATTGCTGTCTACCTGGACGTGACATGAAAAGTTTTTCATTTTTATGCAGTATTTCTGATTCTTTATAGTTTTAATTACCCATGTGAGAAATTGGTGGAAAAGACCTTTATCTCATGACAAGACATAAGAAAAGTACTGAAAAATTTGAGGCATGTCAAGAAAAAATTTGAAAAAAATTCAAGAAAAAAATTCTTTTAAATTACAAGATTCTTTAAGTAGTATTTTTCTTTTTGTGTGTCTATTTCACTAGGATGCTAGAGAAGTAACTTTAAGCACAAGTGTTAAGTCGATAGGGTTGAAAGAGGTAGAGTGGTAGAGAAGGAAGGGGGAGTGAACATTTTTTAAAAAGGAGATTTTAAAAAAAAACAACTTTGAAGTGTCCAGAGGAGAAAAAGCTTACCTGGGGCTGCTACGTGGGAGGATCCACACTGGGACATCTAAGGAGAGGGGACAGCCCGAATTAAGTTTGGGAAGAATATCAGGCATTTTCCCCCCGGGGTTTCACCTGGATCCTTAAACACATTCATCCAAGATGACGGAAACTCATCACCAGCCCCCTGACTGTGGGTTTACCTGTGGGAGGAAATCACCAGTGGTCCCAGGCTCTTCGATCTTTTTCTTTGTGATTGTCTGCATTGTCACAAACTCTCTAACCGTCCCCTCTTCTGTGTTCTAGGAGAGACAGCGCCTGGAGACGATCCTCAGTCTCTGTGCTGAATTCACGAAGCCTGACAGTCACTTGTCCACCGGCACCACCGTAGCCGATGTGCAGAAGATCAACAAGGAGCTTGAGAAGCTGCAGCTGTCTGATGAGGAATCTGTGTTTGAGGAAGCCGTGGTGAGCCCTGACGCCAGGTACAGGTGCCACCCGAAAGGCTCTCTCCACGATGCCGACTCGGCGGTCTTTGGGAGCGTTGGGCAGAGCAGTGCCGGCTTCCTTTCTCCCAGGAGCATCAGGAATGATGAGCTGCTCAGGGACCTCACGCCTGCCTTCCTGAAAACGTCCAGCGAGTCTGCTTATCTTAGTATCCTACCCAAGGTAAAGGCAACAGAGCAAAAAGATCAGGATTTAGGGCCCGGGGCTCTGCTTCTGCTTTGGCCCAGAGATGAAAGGCTTTGTCGAACTTGTTTCCCAAAATGTTTTCAGTGAAGCTTCAGTTTAAGAGGTAATTAGCTAAATGAGGTGCAGCAAATTAGGGCGTTTATTCTTAAGTAACAAGTGTGCACCGTAAGAATTGTAGCAATACAGAAAACTCCAAAGAAGGAAGTTTCTCTTTTCTCTGCCCCCTCCTGGTTGTACACCTGAGAAATAAACACCAAAGTGTTTTACCTGCCTTCTTCTTATTTCTGTGCATATTACAGCCATAGGCATGGACGCACAGATGCAAACATATGGTGTTCTGCCCTTTTTCTTTGCCTCACTCAATGTTTGCACATTTTTGCATTTTAGTACACACAGCTCTGGCTCATTCTTTTTAATAGCTGGCTAGTATTCTATTGTTTGGAAATACCATTTAAATTGTTTCTAGGTTTTTACTAATAAAATGGATATGCAGTGAATATTGTGCAAATGTATCTTCAAGTTCACTTACTAAAATTGGAATGGCTGGGTCAAAGAGTTTGTATGTTATTCATTTTATTTTTTTTTTATTTTTTTAAGACTTTATTGATTTATTTGACAGACAGAGATCACAGGTAGGCAGAGAGGCAGGCAGAGAGAGAGGAGGGAAGCAGGCTTCCTGCTGAGCAGAGAGCCCGACTCAGGGCTCGATCCCAGGACCCTGGGATCACGACCCGAGCCGAAGGCAGAGGCTTTAACCCACTGAGCCACCCAGGCGCCCCTATGTTATTCATTTTAATCAGTACTTCCAAATGATACTCTTGAAAGACTGCATATTTCCAGGTGATACTTCCACCAACAGTTTGTGAGCATGCCTTGTTCTCCATACACTTGCCAAGGCTGCACATTTTCAAAATTTTTCAATATACTAAATTAATTGGTGTCTAATTTGCTTGCCCTTAATTATGCATAAAGTTAGACATCTTTTCTTATTTTTAGTTGTGAATTTGTGTTTTGACCCACTTACTCATGTTCTTCACCCATTTTTTTAAAAATTTCTTACCTTGTTTTCACTAAGTCATTAGAGTTATTTGTAAGGAAATTAGTCTTTTATCATGAGTGCTCTTAAACACTTACACATAAGCAAATATGTGTACTTATGATATTTTTTAGATGTATAAGTGTTTAAGATTCATATGTAGTCATTATTACTTAGTCTTCTGGTTGTATATTGATTTCAAAATGTCTTCCAAATTTGAGGATTTCTTAAATGGAATTAGAGGAAAATCTTTTGGTGTAACTTTTTTCACACAGGTTAAGATTCTTTTTTTTTTTTCTTGTTTTTTTTTTTTTTGAGAGAGAGACAGTGTGTGCAAGTATGCAAGGAGAGGGCAGAGGGAGAGAGAGCGAGGAATCTTAAGCAGGCTCCATGACCAGTGCAGAGCCCAACCTGGGGCTTGATCTCATGACCCCAAGGTCATTATCTGAGCCAAAATCAAGAGTCAGACGCTTAACTGACTAGCTACCTAAGTGTTCCAAGAATCTTTTTTCTATGAAATTAAAATAAATTCTACTTCTTTTCTAGAAAGGATTTAAGAGAGTGACAAGAAGATGTAAGTTTTATTGGAATAAAATTAACACACCAAAAATAGTAATCAGGAGGAAAAAACAGATGCTATAATCACAAGAATTTATTTAAGTAAACAGGATTAATTAATTAAGTAAGTAACTCAGACCATTAAGTTCAATTCTGAGATTCTTGGCCATTATAGCCAAAGAATGAAAAACAAAAAAAAATTTATCAGTTAAATTTTTGTTGTAAGAGAATGACACAAACTGATTAAGAGAAAGACATTATCATGTGCAAATTTCTGGAAGTAGTTTATCACCTGGAGTATTATTCAGGAGGAGTGTGTGTGTTTGTTTTGACTTTTTTACTCAGTGTTCCTCATCAGGAGTCCATCCTGGACTAACCTTCTGAGTTCTCCCAACATCAGCATCAGGACTTGGAAATGTTCAGTCCTTCTTTCTCCTAATGACCACAGTGACCTTACTCATTCTCTGTGGAAAGTACTTCCGAATAAGACATCTGTCTCCATTGCCAGAGAGTTGCAACTGTTAGAAACTAGGATGGGGGGCAGAATCAAAAGTTGGTTGTGTTCAGCAAAGTAAATGACCCACCATTTGAAAGCTTGAGCGGTTTTCATCAGCCCTTAGGCTTCCTTTGAAGTCTTGTCTCTCTTTTCATTTAAATGTCTTCCAACATAGACAGCTGCAAGACTTTGGTAAAACAGTAAGCTGTGTGTCTCTCTCTAAGGACCATCTTTAGGGAGACAGGTTTCCTGCTGAAGAGAGCTAGGACAGGAGAGCTGCTGGTGTGTAAATGGGCAGATCGTGGCGGATGTTTTTAATTGCCCAAATATGCTCTTGTGGAAAAGGACACCTCTAAAGCTTAGAGCAACCTCCGTTGTGGCCAGACCTGTAAGACTGTGCATCCTTTAGAGACAGGAAATAACAAAGGCGCCTCTGGTTACCTCGCAGCAGCTTAGGCAGGGAGTGAGGGAGGGGATGAGTTCCAAGGACGGAGGTTTGCCTGTATGACTTTATGGAGACAGATATATGTCATCCCAGGACAGCAGATAGAAGAGTTTTATTAAATGAGCATTTGTTTTGGATGCTTTTCTTCTTAGTAATCTGCTCACTAACTCATTTACTTAGCAAAGGACAGTGTTTGTTATTAACCGATCTAAGGATCAAATGCAGAGGAGAAGAATATGACAGATCCATTGATTTACGGAAACAAAGATTTTGATGATATTTAGGAAACCTGAGACTTACTGTTCTGGAACGTAGTTTTAGCTAACACATAAAGATACAGATGACCTTAGAAATATGCACATTTAATATAATTTAATATTTTAAAGATTTACTTATTTTAGAGAGAAAAAGTGAGAGCAAAGGGGGAGGAGCAGAGGGAGAGGGAGAAAGAGACTCTCAAGCAGACTCCCCACTGAGCGTGGAGCCTGCCGCCAGGCTCGATCTCACAATCCTGAGATCATGACCTCAACCCAAACTGAGTCAGATGCTTAACTGACTGAGCCACCCAGGCACCCCGGAATACGCTCATTTTAATTGGCTTTTGTGAACCTGTCTTCTGGCACCTGAGGTGAAAGCTGAGAGTAGCTCACTGTTCTTTTTTCCTGTAGTGTTAGGATATAAGTCAAACGTACAGCACTTGTGTGTTTTGTGTACAGGCTTGTGACGTGACTTACAAATATCGTGAAATGATTGCCACGCTTAGTTTAGCTAACATCCATCACCTCATACTGTTATTTGAGGAAAAAAAAAAAAGTTCTTTTCTTTGAGAATTTTCTCCCTCTTCTCTTGTTGAGTAATCATTCTGTCTACAGTGGACAGCCATCACACTTGCACCTTCCTCTGGTTGCAAGAAGTTTCTAAGGAGATTTGGGGGCAAAAAAGCAGAAACAAAGTGTCTCGTTTCTACCGTCCCTCACCTTTCTCTGTGGAGATCGGGTTACCTCATAGATGGCGTATTTGGGGATGCTCCTATGTGTGTAAACAGTACACTCATCCCATTCCATCACCAACCATTCAGTTTTGGAATGCCTTTTGAAGATTTTACTCTTTATAAAAAACAAAAAAGAACGACCATTTCCTAGATAGCACTGATGGTTATAAACAGTTTTTCAAATGGTCTATTATCTACCGTGCCCATTGTGGTCAGTTGTTTAGAAACTTGGAGTTAGATGTTTATAATCGCCACTGTCACCTTTCTTCACCCGACACTTGCTTAGAAAGCTTAGGGTGTGGAGATTGCTCAGCTTTTGTTTGCTCTTAATGCTTGACTTCCACCAGTGAGAGATATTTTTAAACCATGCTGGCAGCTGAAACCCAATATGAAATGTTCACCCAACAGGATACTGGCCTTCTTGGGCCTTTCCTGCTAGGATTACGCATCAGTGATTTTGGAATGCCATTCACTGTTATGGGCCTTCCTCACACCCTAAAACAGCCACCTGAGTACTAAGACAATGAGATTCATTGTGATAAAAAGGTCAGCGGTTGTTTTAATAATTGGCAAGATACTGCATTTAAGATGGCAATTAGGAGCCTAAATGTCAAAGCGTGGAAGGCCTGCGTACTTTTGCGAATCACCCTGAGATACTGTAACATCTCAATTGTTTGATCTCCTTAAGGGGCAGTGAAGTAGGGTAAAGAATAAAGACTGTGAATAAGGAAGGCCACATGCTGGCTCTCTTCTTGAAGTTATTTTCAAGATCATTAAATAAATCAAATGAATTTCATGTGGCATACCAAATGTTAATTATTTCTTTGGTTAATATGAATATTCTTGAATACTAATGAGTAATCTTCAATAATTTACTTATTGAGGCTGCTGTGTTTAATGTCCAATTGTGAAATTGTTTCATGGCTGACTTACTAATGCAGAAAAATTATTTCTTTTTCAAAAAGAGATAAAAATTGAGTAGGTGATGTACCTCTACCCCAGCATCCCCGGACTTACAGAAAGACTAAACAGCTGATATCTAGGATAACTACCTGAAATGGCTGAAAGAGGCGATTTTCAATTCATTATACTCTCTTCTTAAAATAGGCAGTCCCAGTTTGCGTGTGTATGATCCCAAATGCTCCTTTCCTCCCTGGGCACCTGTCATCACTCTGTTCAGGGGTATAAGTATGTCCTCTCTTACCCAGTTTTTTTCCTGATTTTCTCATTCCTTGCCAAAGAACTCAAGTTTTTTTCTGTGAAGTGACCAGTGTCATATTTTGTGTCAGAGAAGCCCACTGGCCCAGTTAGTGTCTTAAACATTATACAGGAAGAAGGTGCTGTAGGATAAAGATAGTAACGTGTGAACACAAGTGAAACATGAATTAATGTCATATTAAGTGTATAGTTTTCAGTGATTTGGGGAATCACCAAAGTAATAAAGCCTGTATTATCCTGGTCATTCACTTCAAGGAACACTGAGGCGAGAGGGGCCAAGTGTATCGTGCCCTTGCTTTTCCACCATGTGTTGGAAAGGAGACAAATAAGCATGAATGCCCATTCACAGATAACCCTAGTGGTGGGGCCCAGGATACGGCTAGAAATTCGGGAAACTGTTGTAGGAACAGTGCTTACTTGGAAATGGGAGAGAATATGGAGCTTGGAGTGAAGGTAGCATCATGCCCTTCAGATCCCCGAGAAAGATGTCAAAAGTCTTGTCCTAGATTCTAGTTCTTTGCTGTGCCAAACTTTTCTCTATGACCTTAAGAGAAGTCACTACAATCTCTATGGACCACAACTTCCTCATCTGTACAAACTTAGTTATTTCAACTTCAAAAGAATATGAATGGGTGAATTTAATTTGGTTTGTATGAGGTAACTTAAGACCCTCACTGCTGAGGATTTGTGGGAAAATGCAGAATTGCAACAGAACAATCACAAGGACGCTTTTAGAATCTAAAGAGGCACTGAGACTGTGAAACCCCAGAATTCCTACTGGTGTGTAAATTGGGCGATTCTGGAATTGAAGTGTGAATAGCCCTTTTCTGTGTTGATTAATTGCAGACCCCTGAGGGTATAAACGATGAACAAAGGATTCAGGAGTTGGCAGCAATGGAAGAGACCCGGATAGCAATTCTGAATAACCTCGAGGAACTTGAACAAAAAATCAAAGATATCAATGACCAGATGGATGAATCTTCCAGAGAGGTATAAAACAGGAGTTGGTGTTTTACCCCTCTCTTTTTTCTCACTTTCCTTTAGCTTAAAAATATTACTGCCTATTAAGGCATAGCTTTGGAAGCAGAATACATAGAAATCAACATGAGTTAGTATTTTCTTTCAGTGGGTCCATGTTAGGGTAAAAATACCTTTTTTAAAAAAGTTTTTTCCTTGTCTTTTTTTTTTTCTTAAGTCCGATGAGACATTTTATTTTTTAAAGATTTCATTTATTTATTTGACAGAGATAGAGCGAGAGAAGGAACATGAGCAGGGGGAGTGGGAGAGGGAGATCAGGTTTCCCATGGGGGAGCGAACCTGATGTGGGGCTCTATGCCAGGACCCTGGGATCATGACCTGAGCCGAAGGCAAATGCTTAATGACTGAGCCACCCAGCCGCCCCAGATGAGACTTTTGATGTACTTTGGGTATAGCCAGTTTTGTCTTAACTAGTGTATGCTCTCTGATTTGCTACAGATCTGTCAATTGAGGTCCCATATATTTAGGTGTCCATGTTCAAATCCAACAAACATTTCCTGAGTATGCTTACTATGAGCTAGACATCGTGTCAGAATATAGGGGGTTTTATATATGAAGAAAACATAGACCCAGCTTTCTAGAGGTTTGCAAACCAGAGAGGAGACAGACACATAGTCTATTATATAATAAGAGAAAGGGGCCATTTTCATACTAACTCCATGGAGTGAGATGGAGCATGTTGATTCTGCCTACCATGTATATACTCACAGATGATGCAGACAGCTATAAGAGGAAGGGGACTGCTCACCTGTCATTTTATCCCAGACCCTGGACGTCCCTCCTGCTGTCATTGTTAGGAATGCATCGCTTGCATGCTGGGCTGGGTGTAATTTTCACTTCCCAAGCTCTGTGGACAAAGACAGACACAGCTGCTCCCAAGGTGGTTTGTGCTTGAGTCTGAATGTGAGCAAATAGGCAAAATATTATTGAGAAGTTAGCAGAAAGGGAGTTATAGTAGAAAAATTAAATGATAGGTGGATTTCTTAGTAAATATATTGCAGGCTGTCCAGCTTTCTTATATAGGAATTCTGAGTCTCACCTAAACTCCCTGGAGTGTTCTCTAGAGCCTACAGTCTGGCTGATACCATAGTACTTTTTGAAATTCGTGGCTGTTAAAAATGCACCTCTAAAGTGGACAATTGAGAATCTCTCCGAAGGTGAAACACCTCTGAGCTTTGTTTTATGTCCTCAGTTGGATATGGAATGTGCTCTTTTGGATGGAGAACAGAAATCCGAAACAACTGAACTTATGAAAGAGAAGGAAATTTTGGATCATCTAAATCGGAAAATAGCAGAACTGGAAAAGAACATCGTTGGTGAAAAGACTAAGGTAAGAGAAAAGTATATTTGAATGCAATTTTTAGGGGCAATATGGTGGTTCCATTTGGTCAAATTTAAATGTTGTATGAATTCCCATGGTTTGGGATTTGTGTGTCATGTTCCTGGAGACAGTGGTACTAGAGGAAAGTCTTAAGATGAGGTAAGTTCTTCACAAAGAACTGTCAGGGATTGAGCCGTGGATGCTAAGGGACTAGAGCCCATAGAACTTTCGAGTCGATATTCCTGACAGCTTAACCTACTTGAGATGAGCGAATCGCTTTTTTCTAACAGGCTTTCTGCTCTTCTGATTGTGCTGTGTTTTTTAAAGATTTGTTTTAGCATAAGAAGTTTATTCTTAATCACTTGTATCCCGTGGGGATGACTTAAGCACATTCAACTGCTGTTGCCTTTTTTCTTTTTCATTTCTCTATTTATTAAGAATTTGAATGGGAACCATTCATTGCCTATGTCCTGACTAACCATTGTCTTCAGTGCAAGGGCATTGCTCTTTGGCAAATGCACTGGAGTTGTAAGGCAATCCTCACACACTGTCAGGTGGAAAATATCCATGAAACACGGTTGACACTTACCTTGGAAAAGGTCTCACTCATACATTTCAGGCCACAACCTGAATATTAGCTGATACCTATTAGGGCAAGTGGGAAAAATTACTCGCAGCTTTTAGAATTCAGGGTTGTAGTTGGGTTTTTATCTGTTTATTTGTTTATTTCCTCTGGGAAATATTTTACTTTTCTCTCCCATTTTGAGTTAGTTACAGCTAAACTAAGCCTAAAAAAATGAAATTCCAGTTTCGGAGGGAAAACGCAAACGAACTTGAACATATTTCTTCCTTGCTCACTATCTTCTCCACTAAGTTGAGAAAAAGGGGAAAAAATCAGTTTGAGTAAGTTCTGGTGGGTAATACGTGGAAAGGATTTTTGCTGAATGCAGCTTCCTTTTTAGGCTCTTCTTTGTTTGAGACCTATAAATAAGGGCATTTGATCTTGGTGCCAGAGAATGAGCTCAAAGTGATATTGTCAGAAATTGATGTCAGACTAACAGCTACACATCAATTTCTTGCTTGCCTGCTTGTTGAGATTAACTACCCAGCTTTTTCACATTAAGTTTTATATATATTCTTCTAGCTCCAGACTTTGAAATAGTAAAGAATCCATTTGGGTAGTTGGTATATTTTCTTTAAAAGCCCAAAATCAAGTCAAAGGATTGTCTAGAGCTGCAGTAAAGGACGCTTCTGGTTTTCCAAGATTCTGCACTGGTAACAGCAAGAAACTGTGGGAACCGTGAGATGTCTTTGTTTGGGGTGCTTATTAGTATTTATTTTTATGTCCTACTGGTAAACTTGTGGGACAGAAGAATGGGTATCATGTTCTCTATGAGACTTTCTGCCTTCCTTATCCATGTAGTTATTAATCTTTGTGTAGCCCACACATGGCATGGCCTGAAAATTCTATTTGTCTCCATCATTAACATGAGACACAAAAGCGAAGCAAGTGGTTTCAATGCTTAATCCCACCTCCCAGGGAAAGTCATGTTATATTCTGTGGCTCTAAAGGATAGGTGGATCTCCAGGGACATGGATAGAAACAAGAAAGGAGGCCACCTCCATCCTTCCTATTATTGTTCTGGTAAGCTTGACAGAGGCTCTGAATAGGAGAAGGGACACAGGGGGCTTGAAGTAAAGGACCGACTCATGCAGCTGTTAGGGTATACATTGGTCTTAGTGGGATTATTGTCTGTCATCACAGGGTGTGAAAAATGGCAGAAACTGGCTTTGAGTGAGAGATTCCAGAGAAGAACAAGGGAAGTAGAAACAGACTGGTTATACGTATTTTTGGTTATGATGTTGTATTCTGGTTATGATGTTACACGTAGTTTTGACCACCAAACTCAGAGATTCAGTACCACTTGGTGGCATTTTCGAATAAATTTGTACTGTCTTATGACACGGCTGTTTCACACTTTCACTCTGTTGAAACCTCTGGTCCATTTTCCTCCCACCAAGATGACCTTACCAGCTACTTCCCTGAGAAATCAAATCGGTCCTATCCCTTCCCCACTAAGGAGGGTTCTCTCCCCCCCTCAAAGATAAGTGGCTTGGGATGTGCTCTGGGTATCATTCCATCCCGCCGTCTCCAGGTCAGCTCTTCTGTACCCCACTTCCTTAGCCTTCCCCTCTTTACTGAACTTTGACTGCCAACATGCCAACATTATTTTTACATTTTACTATTATTAAAAAACAAACTACCTTCCAGCTATTGCCTTATGTCATTTCTCTTCATCAGAACCGTGCTTTTCAAACTGTTCTTCCTATACTGTGGGCCCTCTTCCTCAGTTCTAATTAACCACCACCCAACTCCAGTTGGTTTAGGCCCCCACTTCTCCATCAGATTTGTCCCTGGTAAGATGATAAAAGACCTCCATGCTGCCCAACCCACTGCAAGTTTTTTAGTCCCCTTGTGATCAGATGTCCTGAGCAGCATTCAAGACAGAGGACAACCCTTTTTCTTTGTACTTGCCCCTCCTCACCCTGCTCCTTGGCCTCTTGGTGTCTCCTCTTCTGGTTTTCCTTGTCTTTCTCTTACTCATTCTCTCTGGTTTTTCCAACTTGAGTTCCCTTTTCTTATTTCTCTGGCTCTATAAAACTGGTTGTTAGAGTGTTTGTCTCCAAGCTGACCCTCTTCTCTTGTATTCTCATGTTCTCTTATAGCTGTGGCGCCCCATGACCTGTAAACGCTGGTGACAGTCGAGTGCATGTCTTAGCCTACAACACTTTCCCGAAAGTCTGATTCAGATCCTGTAGCCTACCTGATGTCCACACTTAGACAGTTCACACCTATTGCCGACTCAATGCTCCTAATGAACTCTTGATCTTCTCCTTCCCCTTGTCTTCTACACACCTCCCCACCAATCCTGTTCTTCCTCCAGTTTTCCCAGGCCAGGAGATAGCCTCTCCAGCCACCTCTGTGTCCAAATGGTAACCCGGAAGTCAGTCCTGACACTTCTTTCTCCATCACCCTCACATTAAGAGTTCTCAATGATTTCAGCTTCTCTGCATCTCCACTAACAGCATTCTCTTCTAAACCATCAGAATCTCTTCTTTCCTTCCATTTCCAATTGCCTCCCTTTAGTTCATTCTCTTCACAGCAGCCAGAGCGATTTTTAAAAATATATAAAGTAGATCCTATCACTCTGATTTGTGTTCCACCGTATTTTATATAAATTTTATATACTTGTTTTGTGGGTCTTCATCACTCCCCCCTCCTTCACACCATGCGCGTGCTGACCTTCTTTCTGTTTGTTAAAGAGCCATCCTTCTCCCTCACCCCCCCACCTCCTGCCAGGTCTGTTTCCTTGCAGACCTATTTCCCATGCCTGGAATTCCTTTCCCATATTCCATATCTTGTCCGGTCTATCTTTCCGGGCTTAGGTTCATTGTTAGCTCTCCAGAAAAGCCCTTTCAGACCCTTCCAGTCTTGATTATGTTCACCCTGTTGTTCTTTGAGTCCCCGTACAAATCCTGTTTCATACTTTACATGTGTTTGGGGCTTCTTAGGTATGGATTTCCCACTCTGGCATGTGAAATAGAGACAGGCAGTGCTCTCCACTGTTTACCGGCTCATAGCACCAGCTAGCATACCACCCAGCATGCTTCGACAATACTGTCCTTAGAGCTCCTGCTAACAGCAAGCCCTTAGCAGAAACACGGAGCCAGACACCTGCGCGAGAGCTCCGCGCTGCCAAGCTCAGGCCATCTGGGATGGTGTGCTTCAATGCACATGCCAGGAGGCTCACCGTCACGCGGCCAGCCCAGCGGGAGTGCAAGACAGAAGGAGGAAGTGACCTCTGCCCTTTGGGATCTCGTTTCCTTTTCCACACACCTGTTGCTGCTGTTGGAAACTGGAATGAGAAAACCAAAACCTGGAGAGATATCCCTGCCGGGCAAGCTCCACCTCAGATGTTGGTAGCACGTCCTGTAAGCCTGGCCCTACTGTTTTGGAGACAAGGCCTGGAGCCGTAGGAGGAAGGCTTGCTGACACCTCAGATTTCAAATACTGGTGTGAAAGGATCGACATCCTTCCATTGGCACTTGAGGCCGGTCCTTGGTATTATTTCTCTTAAGTGATTTGGGGGCTGTCATTCTGTTTTAGCTAGTTGGTAATAAATTAATTACAGGTGTAACTCACTTTTTGAAAGTTCACGTTACAACGCTTCACACTTACCAAAGACCTCCGTTAAAACCTGTTTTCGCTGAGAGAAATCCGAAGAGGATTTCCGCTTTTATGCAAAATTACGGTGAGACGTGACCCTAGCGTTCAGCGTGTGGAAAGCCTTCAGCGCCTGTGCTGCGGGGAATGCGCCCTCACACCCCCAGCAGCCAGAGTGGCGCCACCTAGCCCCCTGCCTGGGAACTACAGCAGCATCTCCGCATCAGCAGCTGCAGCTTCCAACTGTGTCTGTGGACATCTGTGCTTTATCTGCATTTACTTGGTGTATCTGTTAGAAGAGCAAGATGTGTCCTAAGGTATCAGAAAAGCCGAAGAGAAGTTATTTTGGGGGTCTGGGAAAGCTTAACATTTTTTCCATGTAAATTACTGGTAATTGCTTCTTTGCTTTATACCATTTCAGCTTAGGAAGGGTTTCATAGGAGCGCTCCACTTTCAGATACAGAGGGGAACCTGAATGTTATAGATGACTTATTTATTATACGTTACCATCTAAAATATAAACAGTCTAAAATATAGACAACAGAAAATATAGTCTCAGAGACTTTCCGTTACCCAGACTCTCATCATAAAGCTCAGCCACTCTTTGTTTTAGGATCTGTCCTCACACAGACAGATTATGGTATTTTGTTGCTGTCCTGGCCTTGTTTGTAACTAAACAGGCTTAAAGGTGTGAATTGAAGCTTAAATCACTCCACATCATATAACTCCTGCCACAGAGAAATCTTAAGTTATTTGACTAATTCTCCTACTCGAAGCATGTATC